CTCGGCGTGCGCGGCGGCACGCCGGGCGGGGCCGTTCTGAGCCGCGCAAACTGCGCACCTCCTCCTCCTCCTCCTCCTCCTCCTCCTCCTCACTCCTTTTTCTGTGATTCTTCTTCTGAGTAAACTTTTTCTTCTCGTCATTAGCATCATTCGTATTATTATTATGCTGATTATGAGTCCTGAGCTTATTGTTATTATTGGTAAGAGTAGTAGTGGTAGTAGTAGTAGTAGTAGTAGTAGTAGTAGTAGTGGTAGTAGTAGTAGTAGTAGTAGTAGTAGTAGTAGTGTAGTAGTCGTAATAGCAGTAGTAGTAGCAGTAGTAGTAGTAGTTGTAGTAGTATCAGTAGCAGTAGCAGTAGCAGTAGTAGTAGTCGTAATAAATCAGTAGTCATATTAATGCATTATTTTCCTAGTGTGCTGAATGATCATATTATTAGCATTCCTCGTATTATCATCATTATGTTTTTGTTAATTATTCGTGTTCCTCCTCCTTCTCCTCCACGTCCTCTTCCCGCAGACCGTGAACATTCAGAAAACGCACACATTAGCTAGTCAATGGGCGATGCTTAGACTTGGAAGGGCAGTGAATGACGTGTCTTTGATGTCAACATTGCGGAGGAAACGCGTGCTTGGAGCCATCTTCGCTCTTCTTGGGGCCCTCTTGGGGGCCCCTTGGGCTGTCACGGAGCCATCTTGGAGGCCTCTTGGGCGCTCTTGGGACGATGCTGGGGGCCTCTTGGGCCGTCTTGGGCCGTCGGAGAGCTGATAAAAAAGAAAATGCCAAAATCCTTCAAACATCTTAGGATAATCAATGACTTTTGCCCTTTCGGGCCTTCCTGGAGGACGTGGAGGCCTCTTGGGGGTCTCTTGGCCAGTCTTAGACCATCTTGGAGCCATCTTGGGCCGTCTTGGAGGCTTCTTGGACAAACTTGAAGGCATCTTGGACTCTCTCGGGCCGTCTTGGAAGCCATCTTGGACCATCTTTGGCGACTTGGAGGCCATCTTGGAGGCCATCCTGGGCCAACGTGACCATCTTAGAGGCCATCTTGAGCCGTCTTGGAGAATTGTTTGTGAACGTTGGGGTGGTCTATGCTGCCTTGTGCGGCCTTTCGGGTGGCCGGCGGGACGGGCCGAAGCCCCAGGGAGTTTTTCTAAAAGAACCAAAACCGAAAGGATCTAGCACGCCGGGCACCCCTGTGGCAAGCCAACAGGGGGCGGCGGTTCTAATGGTCTTCGGCCCATCCCGCCACCGTGCCTGGATTTGTCGGTCAGGTGCCCCTCGGATGCTTGTGAAGATCTATTTGGGAGACCTCCCCGAAACCTCTTGCCTCTTGAAGGCTGTTCTGCACGTGATTGGGGGCGTCTCGGGGGGCCTGGGGCCCGATTTCGACCTCCTGGGACCTCTTAGGGGGCCTCTTGGGGCCTCTTGGGGGGCACCTCGGGGTCCTGCGCCAAGACGGCCCAGGAGGCGCCCAGGAGGTCTCCCGGGCGGGCCTCGGGGCCGCATGTCCCGAACAGCGAGCTCTTCGCCCCTGGACACAGTCGCGCGGAACCCCCCCGAGAGCACCCAGGAGCGCCTGGAGCGCCAGGCTGTGGAACTCCAGGCTGTGCAGCACTCGAGAGGACTCGCGTCGTGCACGCCTGCCTGGAAACGAAAATCCCTGGACACGTGGGAGCCGGGGGGAAAAATGGTGGGCGAAAACATCTGGAGCAGCAGGAAAACCGCCCCCCCCCCCCTCCCCTCTGGACACCTGCCTCTCTAACGGGGGGGTGGCGCTTCCAAGGGGGAGGGGGGGGGGCGGGCAAACCAGAAGGGGGAAGGGAGGGCCCCGTCCAAGGGGGGGAGGGGTCGAACTGGGAGAGGGGCCTCCCCTTAAATTAATCCTGGTAGTGCTCGATCGAACTCTGATAGAAACCTACTATAGCTGGATCAAGCTTTAGTGCTATCCGAACCGGGCTCGATGTATCTCCATTAAAAATCTAATTACTGTCTCACTGAATCCTACTAGGGCTCGATCCCGCTCTTATTCCTAGATAACAGTGGGACCAAAAAGTAATAGCATCCTAGTCGGGCTCCATCGAGCTCGACTTGGATGTTTGGAAGGTTCGATTCCTCTCGATAGGAACCCTATTTTCGCTGGATCCAGCTGTACACGTCGGTCAGAAGAAGTAGGTAAAAACATGAAGTAGGAAGGCGGATTAAGTTGATTGGGTCCAGGCCCCCCGCAGGGAATAACAAAACACAGCAAAAGCGTGTCGATTCTTGAAGTAGGAAGGCGCTTCAAGTAGACTGTAATCTGGGAATCCAAAAAAATACCTACTTTCAACGACCGGCGTGTAGTTATTAAGCTCCACTCGGGCTCGATTCAGCCCCAGCAAAATCTTATCACGGCTCGATCCAGCCTGCACAGGCTGTGCAGGCTGGATCGAGCCGTGACAAGGATGCAGCCTCAGCAGCACCGAGCTGGATAGAGCTGGATGGAGCCTTAGCAGGCTGTGCAGGCTGGATCGAGCTGGATTGAGCCTTAGCAGGATGCTGTGCAGTGCACAGCACCCTGCTAAGGCTCAATGGTCGTCGCGTCGTCGCCGTGGCCCGACGGCGTCCCGGCGCGGGCGCCAGAGCTCGCCGTCGTCGACTGCCACTGGGGGGCAAGGGTCCCCCCACTCCCCTGCTCGAATCTTCCCCCTCCTTTCCTTCCTTTTCCTCCTCCTCCTCCTCCTCCTCCTTCTCCTCCTCCTCCTCCTTCTCCTCCTCCTCCTCTTCCTCCGCCTTCCTCCTCCTCCTCCTCCTCCTCCTCCTCCTCCTCCTCCTCCTCCTGCCACCGCCTACTCCTCCTCCTCCCTCCTCCCCCTCCCTCCTCCTCCTCCTCCTCCTCCTCCTCCCCTCCTGCTCACCTCCTCCTCCTCCTCCTCCGCCTCCTCGTCCTCCTCCTCGTCCTCCTCCGCCTTCTCCTCCTCCTCCGCCGGCCCTGAAATTCAGGAGGGGGCGGGGCCCGGTGCGACATTACACATACCGTGCACAAGTGACACGGATCTCACGCCAGAGTTCGAACTCTCGCTTTGCAACTAACACTTCCCAGTGCCCTCTGCGCACATGAACAATCAAACTCGTGCTATGTCATGTGAAAACTACACTTCGCATGCGGATGCGATGCATTTCTATTAATTTGGCGTTGCGTAACTCACCCTCTCATGGACATCAAACCTTCACACACGGGCACTATACAGCTCGTGGCCGAAAGCTACGCAGGTTTCGAATGGAAGTTGTACAACCTTTAAGTTAAAGCTAAAGAGCGCGAAGTACCATACATCCGTCGTTTGAAAGCTCTACAACTCTCATATGAAAACCCTGGAGCTCCAGAATGACAACTGGTCGCTGCCCACTCGAAAACTACACAGCTCCCAGGTGGAACGGATCGAAATGGTACCGTGCCCATTTCTGGCACTCATGTTGAGTCACATACCAAACGCTTACATGTAATATGTTCATCTGATTTCTGGATCGTGATGAGACGCTACGCAATCCGAAGCCTTGCGTGCGACTAAGAGGGCGGGTTGTCATTGGTACTAGTCGTCTTTTCGGTCGCTTGGTCATTGGCCCAGTCGGTTGGGACTGGTACCCGCGGGTTGCGATTGGTCCGTTATGCGGTTCGAGACCCCCCCCGCTGCCACATTCAAGGGGGGTGGGTCGAACCCCCCCTCATCCCCCTGGCCGCCAGCAAACAATGACGGCGGGTGCTGCCAAACGACGACGACGACGACTACGACGACGACGACGACGACGACGACGACGACGGACCACGACGACGACGACGACAACGACGACAACGACCGACGACCGAAGACCGACGACCGACGACAGATGACCAACGAGCGAAGACCGACGACCGATGACCGACGACTACGACGACGATGACGACCACGACAACGAAGACGACGACCACGAAGACGACGACGACGACGAGGACGACGACGACGACGACGACGACGACGACGACGGACGATTGACGACTGACGACGGACGACCGACGACCGACGACGGCGACGACGGCGACGACGACGACGCGGGCGGGCGGGCGGGCGGACTCTAACGGGCGGATCGAGTCGGGCGGGCGGCCAACGGGCTGGTCGGGTCGGGCGGGACACCCAATCACAATGCATGATCGAAGCGGCACGAGAAAGCCCGTCGAGGTTTGCCGTCGTCGTCGTCGTCGTTCCTTGCTGGCGCTGGCACCCGCCATCGTCGTTTCAGTGCGGCGAGTAAGGAGTATGGCGGGGGCGTCGTCGTCGTCGTAGCAGTCGTTCGCCGTCGCCGTCGCCGTCTCCGTGGCCGCCGTGGACGTCGCTGTCGTCGTCGTCGTCGTCGTCGTTCGTGGTCGTCGTCATCGCCGTCGCCGTCGCCGTTGCGGTAGCGTCAACGTCGTCGTCGGCGTCGGCGTCGGCCCGCGCGGCGTCGGCGTCGGCATCGGCGTTGGCGTTGGCGTCGGCGCCGTCGTCGTCCTCATTGGCGTCGTTCGCCGTTCGCTGTCGCCGTCACCGTCCTTCGCCGTCGTTCGTTGTCGTTGTCGTCGTAGTCGTCGCCGTCGCCGTCGCCGTCGCCGTCGCCGTCGCCGTCGCCGTCGCCGTCGCCGCCGCCGCCGCCGTCGCCGTCGCCGCCGCCGCCGCCGTCGCCGCCGCCGCCGCCGCCGCCGTCGTCGTCGTCGCGTCGTCCGACTTCCGGTCGACCGTCCCGTCGTCGACACGTCGTCGTCGTTGTACGTCTCGTCGTCGTCAGCCGTCGTCCGTCGTCTCGGACAATTGTACGCCGGCGGCGAGTGGGTAGGGGGTGTAAGGTCAGGGGGTGCTCGAACCCTTTATTGCATAAGGGGGGGGAGTGGGCTAGTAAGTGAGGTGGGAAGGGGGTAGGGGGTGCTCGAACCCATCAATTGCATAAGGGGAGGTTTGGGGGGAGGGGGGGGGTGGGGTCGCACCCCCAACGTCCAAGCAGCCACATGAAGCGC